TACCTAAATTATACCAATAAAATTTTTTTTAAAAAGAAGAAGAAAAAAAGGAAAGTATGACATGCTCTCTCCACAAAGAAATGCCAAGTAGGTCAGATGATAGGTATATTAGCTTGACTTACTCATTCTACAATGTATACATATATCAAAACATAATGTATTCCATATACACATATAGTTATTACTTGTCAAATAAATAAATAAGAAATACATACAAAATACAATTTGGACAACTGGGAAAATTTGAAAACAGAATATTAGATGTTATTAAATGCATTAAGTATGATAATGGCACTTTGGTGATGTGAAAGAATATCCTTAGTCTTACAAGATACGTACATTCTGAAATATTTAAATATAAAATATTATGATGATGACAATATTCTTCTGAGTGTGTGTGTGTGTGTGTGTGTGTAGCTGAGAGCACAAAAGAAAATTAAATGGTAACACAGCAACAACCAGTGATTGCAGGTGCAAGGTATTCAACATTTCTATACACAAAACTTCAAAATGAAAAATTGGGAAAAGAAGTATAGGGCAAAATACGCCATCAGTTTTGACAGTTTGTATGTTTCTAATAAATCATTTCATTTAGGTCATATAATTCTTAGCATAAAATTGTTCATAGTATTCTCCTCTAATTCATTCTATTTCTGTGAAGTCTACAATAAAGTCCCCAGAGTTTGAGTTTTGATTTTAATTATTTGTATCTTTTTTTCTTGTCAGTCTAGCTAAAGCTTTGTCATTTTTGTTTATATTTTCAAGGAACTGACTTCTGGTTTTGCCAATCCTCTCTATTTTGTTTACCTCAGCTCTAATCATTACTATTTATTTCCCCCTTGGAGCTTTAAGATTCCCCTTCTTTTTTCTAGTTTCTTAAAGGGTAAAATTAGGTTACTGATTTGGGATCGTTTTTAATGTAAACATTTATAGCTACCAATTTCCTGGGTTTTTGTTTTGGTATGTTATGTTTTCATTTTCATTTATGGCCAACTATTTTTCTCACTTATCATTTCATCTCTGAATCAATGGTTATTTTAAAGTACACAAGGTCCCCTGCCTTCCACAGGTTATGGTTATTAATCCCAGGTACTTGGGAAGCTGAGGCAAGAGAATAACAAGTTCAAGTCCAACCTGGGTTAACCTGGCATGACCTTGTCTCAAAATAATGTTAAAAATTTAAAAGGACTATGGATGTGGCTCGGTGGTGGGGCATGCTTACCTACCATGTACAGGGCCCTGGGTTTAATTCCCAAAAACAAAACAAACAACCAAGAAGAGTATATGGGGTCGTTTGTCTGCATACTCAATTGAACCTAGGCCCTTGCATATCCTAGGCAAGCATTCTTACCACTAAGCTATATCCTGAGGGTTCTCCTACTCCAACTTTATTTATTTATTTATTTGTTTGTTTGTTTATTTATTTATTTATTTTTGAGACAGGGTCTCACTAAGTTGCCCAGGCTGGCCTTGAATTTGCAATCTTCCTGCCTCAGTCTCCCAAAATGCTGAGATTACAGGCACGTGTCACCATACCCACTTAAGTATGTTGTTTAATTTCCACATACTTGTAAATTTTCCCAGTTTTCCATCTGTTCTTGATTTCTTTTATTCTACTATAATCAGAAAAGATTCTTTGAATTATTTTAATCTTTTAAAATTATTCAGACTTGTTTTGATAGTCTATCTTAATGAATGATCTATGTGCAATTGAGAAAAAACGTATACGCCACTGTTTCTCAGTGGAATATTCTACATGAATCTTTTAGGTCTGGGTGTTTTGATACTTTTTTGTTTTGTACTGGAGAAAGCAAACCCCAGTACCCAGGGCTTCACTGAGCTACATTCCCAGCTCCTTCTTAAATTTTATTTTGAGGCAGGGTCTCACTAAGTTCTCAGGCTAGCCTCAAATGTGTGATCCTTCTCTCTCAGCTGAGGAGCTGGGATTACAGGCATGAGCCATCACTTCCAGCTAGATCTAGCTTTTTTTATAGTATTGCTCAAGTGTTCAAGTTTCCTTTTTAATCTTCTGTCTAGCTGTTCTGTCCACTTAAATCTCCAAATATTACTGCAGAACTATTTATTTCTACTTTCAATTCTGTCAATTTTTGTTGCCAATATTTGGGGGCTGTTGTTTTGTACATATATGTTTATATCTTCTCGATGGATTTACTTCTTTATGAAGATATAATTCCTTCTTTGTCTTATATAATTTTTAAACGAAAGTCTATTTTACCTCATATTAGTATAGTTATGATACCTTTCTTTTGGTTACTATTTACGTGGAATATCTTCCCATCCTTTCACTTTCAACCTATTTGTGTAACTTTAGATCTAAAAGTGAACCTGTTATAGATAGCATATACTGTGATCACTTTTTTATCCATTTTGTCAGTCTCTGCCTTTTACCTGGACAATTTAATGCATTATATTTCAAGTAATTACTGATGAGAAAATACTTAATTCTATCATGTTGCTATTTGTTTTTCATATGTTCCTTTAATTCATCCATTAGTACTTTATATTTGCTAGTGTACCATTTTAATTCCCTTCTCTTATTTTTGTGGGGGTTTTTGGTTTTTTTAAATTATAGGACACTCTAGGGATTACAATTAACATCAACACTTTGTAACAATCAAGTTTGAATTAATATCTGCTTAATTTTAATAGTATACAAGGGTGTGGTGGCACACACCTGTAATTCCAGCACTCAGAAGGCTGAGGCAGGAGCACTGCCACAAGTTTGAGGCCAGCCCGGGCTCCATACTGAGTTCAAGGCCACCCTGGACTGCTTAGCAAGACCCTGTCTCTAGAAAAACTACTACTAATAATAATAATAAACAAAAACTATGCTCTTTTACATCCTCATTTTCCCCATCACCCACCCTTTATGCTTTAATCTGAATGCCATCAATTTTTGACAAACAGGAGTTCAGACGCTTGGTTTAAAACTGTAAATTTGTAGTTCTTTCCACATTTAGTTTCTGCATACAAACTTCTCTTGATGAAAGATTAAAACCATTGGAACTAGATTGTATAAGATCACTACTTCAAAACATTTCAGAATGGGAGAGGACAGAAAATGGTCAGACAAGTGTTTCAAATTTTTAAAACCTTGGGGCCGGGGATTTAGCTCAGTGGTGCTGCCGCCTGCCTCACAAGCGCAAGGTCCCGAGTTCCATCCCCAGTACCAAAAAAAAAAGAAAGAAAACAAATTTTTAAAACCTTTTTAAATGACAGACTGGCAGTCATATCAATCCACAGGCTGTTTCAAGAATTACTGCTTTCAGCAGTTCAAGAAATTAAGAGCAGAGTTGCCTTAATATACAATGCATAATTAGACTATTAAAATTGACAATATTTAAAGATTTTAGAACAATTAAATTACCAAGAAAGCTGAACTCCATAATTGGCCACCTAGCCCTGGTAATACACTATCATACTTAACAAAAACAACTGTGAAACATTTAACAAGATCTCTCCATTAAGACTTTTTTCCAATGCTCATGTTTGGCAAACTGAAATAAAAGATAAAACCAATTTTTAAAAAAATCTTCGCTAATTGGGCCTAACTCAATATTTAAAGATCTATACCTATAACTAGACAAAGTTATAACCTTGAGCTTACCTGAGGATGCCTGTAATAGTACAACCAGCCCAGTAGGTCGGTCTTCAGAGGAAGGGCCGCTCTGTCCACATATAACACAGTCATATACTGCCTCAGAAACTTGTGGTTCTGCTGTGGTGATTTCCATAGGAATATCATTCTCAGAAGAATCTGAAGGGAAAAAGTTAAAACTCTTAAAATCCCACTTCAATGAAAATGCAAAAAAAAAATTTACCTTAAATAATTTTAACCTTCAATATCAATGAAGTTATACAGTGATAAAACTATTCAAAATTACTTAGCTAAGTAAAATGTTTACTTAGAAAAGGACAAAATAAAGTGAACAGCTGACACAAGGAAAGATACCAAATGATATATGGTTAAATATACTTTTGATGTGTCATTTATAAGTAAAATTGAGAGGCAAAGACATGTGTATCAAAATAACATTTGAAGGAAAGAAGGGGACAGCTGTTTACCTTAATTTTTTTTGAGAAACTGAAAGTGTAAATAAGGACTAAAAGGTATAAAAGATAAGGTGAAATAGGAAGAAAAGGGGCAAAGGGGAAGTGGGAGGGGTAGGGAAAAGGAAAAAAAGGAATGGAATTAATATGAGAAAACGGAAACAAAGTCTTTGTAAATAGGGAGGGATGGAGGGGTTGAAGGGAGGGCAGGGGAAGGGGGAAAAATAAGAACCAAGAGAGATTATGTAAAGGTGCAAATTTCCAATGATGAATGTCATTATATTGTATACCTAAAATATACCAATAAAATTAATTAAGAATAAAAAAAATTTTCTTTGAGGCACCAAAAAAAACGAGTAAATTTACAGTAAGATGGAAGCTTGTGGGGAAAATAATGTTAGTACAGGGCCAGGGATGTAGCTCAGTGGTTCTGGCACCTGCCTCGCAAGCGGAGGACCCAAGTTCAATCCCCAGTACCAAAAAAAAAAAAGTTAGTACACCCTAGGAAATAAAAGAGAAAAAATATTTCTACCTTACTCCCAATTCTAGTGATTATATCTCAGAAAAACAATTAATGTATTTTTATGTAAGGAAATCATTAGATATAACCATAATATATTACAAACCATAACTATTATAGAAAATAACTCTAATCCTCTAGTGATAAAATGTCATTAACAACCAGACATAATATCTTGAAGTCAGCATGGTGGAGTATGCCTATAATCCCAGCACTCTACCCCAGCAGAGGTAAGAGGTTCCCAAGTTTGTGTCCAGCCTAGGCAACAACAACTCATGAGACCCTGTCCCAAAATTTTAAAAGGGCTGGGGATGTAGCTCAGTATGAAGGCCTTGGGTTCAAACTCCAGTACTGAAAGAAAAAGAAGAGAAAAGCAGAGATAAGGGGAGAAGAAAAAGTATTGAGACAATAATGACTTGTAGATAAATATATTGAAATTCATAATGATCAATGCTGGTGCCCATAGTAGCAAAGAAATGAGTAAAAGGAACTGAGAAAACCAGGGAAGTAGAAAAGCTTTATAACATGTTAAAAAGACAGAGGCATATCAAAGAAAATATGTAAAAATACATGTCAGAAATAGAAAATGGAAGATGTCCTTTTGATGTTTTTAATATGAATTCATGCAGATAAACATACATCTGACATAAATTAAGATACATTAATAAAAATAAAAACAAGCCGAGAAACAAAAGAAAATAGATGAAAAGAATCATTTTATTTTATGTAAATAAAATCAGTGGGCAAGATGAAAAGAAGACTTCAAAAGAAAGTAACAGAGGTGACTAAGATTTTACATATGATTCCTTTGGACTTCAAGGAGAAAGCTCACTACCAAATAGGGAGGATGTACCTCTCTGCTCTTAATTACAAGGGTGAACACAGACATACTTGACATAAAGTGTAGTGAAATAACTCAGTCTAGGGCCGGGGATTTAGCTCAGTGGTTCTGCCGCCTGCCTCGCAAGCTCAAGGTCCCGAGTTAGATCTCCAGTACAAAAAAAAAAACAAAAGAACTCAGTCTAATTTTAAGTACAAAAGAAATAGAATTTCATTAGCCCTGTCTCACACACAAAGATAGCTTTCTTTTTTTTTAATAACTCTTATTGTGAGAAACTTAAAAACCTCAAGAAAACCCTAATAACCAAGATGTATTATCAAACATTATTGTCACCTCTCCCAGAGTTTTTAAAAGAAAGGCTTACTAATTTTCTGAGTAACGCCGTGCTAATGGCATGAAAATAAAATAGATAACCTCTTTTTCATGCATCTTCATAAACTGAAGTCTGTTGTAGAATGTTTTATTTACCATACAGTATAAAGAAATGTACATTTGCACTAACAGCATTTTGTGCTATAATATTCCTTTAATTACAACACATGCATGCATTATGGTTCACATAATGAACCATTAAAGTGTCTACTGCAGAAGCAGATAATTCTCTCAAAAAGTTTGCTTATACAGTGCCATTTCATGTGTTGCTGGTAAATTTGTGCTACTCTGAGAATATGCAACTTACTATAACATAAATGTCAAAATAAATACTGAGTTTCGTCTTATTGTTGCATCATTTCATAATACATAATTTTCAAAGTTCATGCTTCAACTAATTTATCTTGATCTTTAATTTTTAATTCTTTGATTTCACTGGGAAATTAGTACAGCTCAAGATCATCCACTGATTAAGTGGGTGAATACCCAAAAAATAGAAAAAAAAGTCAAGAGCACTTTCTGGATGGAAACGTTATATATAGATACTAAAGCTACATATTTATATATATATATATATATATATACACACACACACACACACACACACTAAAGCAATGTTATATGAAGATTAATCTTTCATAGAATTTAATTACTAAAGCTACATATTTATATATATATATATATATACACACACACACACACACACACACACACTAAAGCAATGTTATATGAAGATTATACATTTATTAAGACTCATTATATACCTTAGATTCATACATTTCACTGTATATAAACCATAAATTACTTCAACATAAAAACAGTGCTAGCTAAAAAAAAAAAAAAACAGAGCTAGAAGAAGAAATTTTAAGGACACTCAGTAGCAAGCTAACAGAAAGCATCTTCCACAGTACTTCCTTCACTTTAGAGATGTTGAATTCCTCAACTAGAAATTTTCAAATGCCAAAGAACTATTTTCACTTTTAACAATAAAAAAATTTGAGTTAATGTCAAATTCATATCACTGTAACTAAATATTTACACTTTATTAGTTAATAACCCAGTTTAGTGATTATCAAAGAGTAAATACATAGTGATAACTCAATTTCAGAAAATTTAGGTTAGCTGTTTACTGCTGCATTTTTTAAATAGCAGAATAAAAAACAAACTGAAAATAACATGAATATCTAATAATAAGATATGGTTGAGTAAATTACTTCATTATGGACAATTGTGAAGTTTTCTTCCCTATCCCCAAATAAAGAAAAGGAAGGAAGCCGGGGATTTAGTTCAGTGGTTCCACCACCTGCCTCACAAGCACAAGGACTGGAGTTCGATCCCCTGTACCAAAAAAAAGAAAAGGAAGGAAAAGAAACATAAAATAAAAGCAATGGTCCTCAACCTGGGTTGGCTGCACAATAAAATCAGCTGGGATTTTCAAAAGATTCTTATGCCTGAGCCCTACGTCCAGAAATGTTTCTTTAGCAAGCGTATAGTAAAATTCAGACATGGACAGTAAAGGAGCTACAATGATTCTAATCCACAATCAAAGTTCAGAATCACTGAATCAGTACTGAAGAAGACACGAAAGTATTACTAAGCCTGAGAGCAAAGAAGAGTGGTCTCATTTAGTAATGTGATCAATGACCCCCCCAACCCTCCAACAAAGTGGAAGGGAAGGAGAGGGGGAGAGTTCATATATGATTATGTTAATATATATATATGTGTGTGTGTGTGTGTATATGTGTGTGTGTGTGTGTGTACAAGAGTACATAAGCCAGGTTGTAATAACCAGTTGTGGAAGAAGAAAACACAAATCAGGAATATTCATGTTAATCTCATGTAGTTACACTATAAGCAGGTGCATGGTGTGTCCATAATGAATGAGTACAAAAAATAAGATTTGAGGATAAAATAAGATCTATATATAATTTTTTCTGTGATTTTCATGATACACTGTAAGTGTTTAAAAAGGAAGCAATTGCACAGCATTTATATAGTCCATCTCATTTCAGGAAAAATACAGTACAAACAAAATCTATTTATGTGATGTCATGACTTCTGTCTAGATGTCCCCGCCAAAGCCCTACCAAAGTCACAGATGGAGCTTTTTCACAGAGATGGGTAGATCTAAAATGTATGATGCTGAGATTAAGGATGTGTGGTTACTAAATTAGTTGACTGATGTTTGGCGCTCACCCTAAGGTGAGTGTCCTATGTAGACTATAAAAAGGGCAGAAAGAAGCTACTATTGTCGCTTACTGGTTGCTACTACACTGCTGGCTACCTTCTGCCTGCCCTGCTTTGCCATGCACTGTTTTTCTGCGATGCCCCTCTGCCATGCCACCCTGCTTTGGAGCCAGCTGATTATGGTCTGAAACCTCTACAAACTGTGGGTCAAATAAACCTTTCTTCCTTCAACCTTAGGCATCAGGCCATTTTGTCTTAGCAACAAGGAAAGTAAATAAGACAAGTAGTTTATCCTAAAGAAGAGAGATTAAAAGGGAAAAAGTGGAAAAGATTAGCTTTGCTATCATATAGTTTTATATAACCTTATTTACCTGTGCTAAGCATATGTTATAATGTTTATTAAATGTTTTGCCTTGGTATCAATGTGTATCTTATACATGGAACAAGTAACCAAAACATTTTAACTTTTTTATTTTTTTGAAATATACCATATAACAGATGATAAACTTAAAAATGACAGACTTGGCAATGCCATTCCTCAAAATCAAACAAATTTTTATTATAAACAACCAAGGTAAAATGTATTCTTATCCATGAAATCTGATTTCAGGGAAAAGGAATTCAAGTAATTGCTGTTTAGTGGTGAGAACAAGAATTTCACAATTTATCACAGTAAAATTCAAAGCCACATTAAAACATTTTATGACAATGTTTTTACAGCATAGTTGCAACAGCCATAGGTACACAGAAGTATATATTATATGTATTCCAATGCCACAGATAGTCA